CAGGCTCTAAGGATTCCTATAGCCATAGGGAGTTTGTCCATTTGTAACCGCTGCGCCACCCATTCAGGTGTGTTTGGTTCATATCTCACAGGTTTTTTCTCAGCTCGGGTCGTCATTGTAGATAAGTTATTTTTATTGGGTGTACCAGTACTACCAAATTCAAAACTAAATTGACTGTCTACATATGACGATGACGAAAAGTCCAATACTGATTCTGAGATTGGCCCCGGCAGACCTGCGTCTACTGCTGGGGCAGGACAAAACCCAATTCTTTGGCCATGGTCTCCTGATCCTCCTGTGTCATCCGGCTCCACATGCCTCTGACGAACTGCGGCTTCGGTGCTTTCTCTGGACAGAACTTCGCAATGTGGCCTTGCTTGCCACAATGGAAACATTCCTTGTTGCGACGCGCAGCATCAATATCCATTGGTCTGCCTGCACCTTTGAAAGTCGTTCCAGTGCCGTCTTTCCTATCCTGGGTGGGTACCGCAGGGGTCGGAGCCTTAGTTGCGGGAGCCTGTGTTGTTTGTGGTTGCCATCTCTGGCTACTAGGTCCTTGCCCAGCATTCCGCTGGTATCTGCTTGACCAATTTCGCCGCATTTCCTCACGACGCCACCACATGTCGTCAATGCTGATAATCTTCTGTTTGAGTTCATCGAATTTTTCGATTCGCTCATTGCTGGTGCCGTACACTTGGTCGATCAGTTTCGGCTTTACGTTCATTTCGATCAGTCTGATAACGTAGGGGGCGTCCTTAGCATATCCAGCGTCTCTCATGATGACTTCAAATTCCTTGAAGAAATCCTCTGCCCTCTCATTGGGGCCCTGACGGAGATGTTCTAGCTTCTCCTGTGCGTTCTCTGTAAGTCCTTTGTCTAGGAAGGAGGCATTCAATGCGTCCTTGAATCCTTTCCAGGTGACTTTCCATTCCTCCTCGTCGTCATTGAAATTATCGTCCGTATAATTCTGGACCCAGCTACTGACTTTGGGACCTCGCATATACGAGACCGCAATGTCAATTCTTTCACTGTCTGTAACGATCCTATTCCTTGGATCACGAATGTAGGCAAAGAGGGTACGACGCCACTCTTTGAACTGCGCTTTGTCGCCATCAAAGATGCTAGGTTCTCTGAGCAACGACTTGCCATGAATATTGGAGGTAGTGGTGGTGGGAGCGGGAGTAGGGTTAGACATGCTGTAGTTGGGTGGTATGTAGGCAGGTATGAATGAGGTGATATTTCGTTCGATAGAAGATGAAGTGGATGGAGCAGATGAATCGGGGGTACGGTAACGATTGGTTTGTACCGAAAGTCTAGGTCATCCTAGTCTTGAAGTAAAATCCGTTGTAAGGAAGACGAGTTACTAATGCAACCCGGTGGTGATGATGGGAAAATGTATGATTGGATTTGTAGAAGTCGAGAGTAGTGTGGGAGAGATTTCGAAAATAGAGTACGATGATGTGGGAAGCAGCCTTCCACTCTCGCTTGATGAACAGATGCACCCTCCCTGTCTAGGAATGGAGCTCGTTGTGCACGCGAAGACCCCTCTCCGAAGATTAGTGATCAGTCGACGCTTTCGTCTGCCAGTACGGTGTCGGACTCAACGTTACACCTTTGTACTATAGGCGACACTGCTCGAATAGAGAGTAGAAGTCTGTGAAGGGTTGGTAAAAATGTGAGCGGGGATAATTGTGATAGGGATATGATTGCGTAGCGTGTGACAGGTGGTAAGAATAGCTTTGATCTTCTGTCAGCGACTGGTTCTAGTAACGGGTGTCACCAGGTGTCACACTCAAGAAAACTTCAACAGTAAGGCGATAAAGGAAGTAAGCAAAGTTCTGGGCTAAACCAGGTAGAATAGACGAGATCAAAGCTAAGGAAATACAGCAAGTAGCTACAGCCTATATACTAGTGAACAACCCTCTGCCCTAGTAATGCCCAATGCCCTGGGTTAGTGGTAAACATGAGTAGAACATAAGTAAAGCAATGTGTAAGTAATGAAAGCTCGATCGCCATGCTGTATACGTGTTGTGAGACTGCTGTGTTTAATATAAGTAAATGAAAAGCGCATGTTGTATCAGTAAGCATAAATAATAGGTCAGGTGACAAGATAAGACAAGATATAGGATAAGGGAGATAGAAGATAAGACAAAAGATAAAAGATAAGACAAGGGATAAGGAGAAAGATAAGATGAAAAAGAAGTGATCGTAACACTCTCCTTCTCGGAGGGAAGGACTTTCCCATCTGCACCAAGATGGTTGAACGCGGGGCGCTGACCGCCGGATTGGCCGGAATTCGAAGAGTTCTGGGGCTTACCATTGTTATTAGGCTTACCACCAGAGAAGGGTTTAGGCTTCGGCGTGAACGGCGCCGAAGAGCCAGATGGCTGAGAGTTGTTTTGCTGGTTAGTAGACCCAGTCTTAAAGTCCGAGGAACCCTTCTTCGGGTTCCGAGCAACAAAAGGCTTACCAGCCTCGCGCTTCCTAGTTTCCTCGCGTTTCCAATAACGATTGTCAATACGAAGAACCTCTTGACGGTAATCGGCGAGCGTCGCCGGCTCGGGCAAACGCGCCATTTCGTCCTTGATGCGCTCAGCTAAGCCTCGTCCATAAGCCCATTTCAGGGCAGCAGAATCCCAGTTGGTACTAGCAGCCAGGGTGTTGAACCGGATATTGTATTTCCGGATGTTCTCGGTTTCCTTCATCTTCAGATTACCGAGAGAATCTTCGGCCTCGCCTTGGGCATCGTAAACGCCGAAATTGTCCTGAAGCTCCTTTACAAGGGCCTTGAAGGAGGACGTCCAGGCCGGCAGCGAGTCGAGATCCGGATCGAGAATATCAGGGACAAACCATTCTTTGGCTGACCCACTGAGATAGGAAAGGGTATAGTTCACCTTCCGTTGGTCGGTGAAGTACTTTGGACGGTCATTGAAGACCAGGGCGAGATTGACGAAGAACGTCTTGAGTTTTCGGGGGTCCGAACCGTCGAATACCTCGGGCTCCTTGACCTTGCTCTTAGATTCAGAGCTGTCAGAGGGACGGCCGAGAGCGGCGAGGACGGTACCAAGGGTCTCAATGGAGCCCTTGAATCCCGAGAGGAGTTCCAACATAGCACGTTGCTCGTTGGGGATGTCAGGAGATATGGGAGAACGAGGTCCACCAGGTCCACCAGAACCGCCGGGACCGCCGGGACCACCAGGACCACCAGGTCCACTGGGGTCACCAGGTTCACCACGCGGTAAACCGCCGGAATCGTCATGATTGTTGTCGGCGCCCGGATCGTCGGGGTCGACAGGAGGGTCTTGATCATCGTGATCACCGGTGTCCAAATCGAAGTGAGGAGGTGGGTCACGAGGAGATTCAGAAGCAGCGCGACGTTGGGGTTGTTTACCCGTACGGCGGGCTATGGCTTGGAGAATTGGAGAATCAATTCGAGTAGTAGACCGGCCCCGAGCCGGAGCGACCACGGGGGGTTGTCCACGGCGAGGGGTCAGGACTTGGACAGGTTGTCCGTCACCAGTGTACAAGGTGCTGTACTCAAATTGTTGTTCTTCTTCCATGGCTTCAGGAAGAGTCGACGTAGTAGGAACTGTGGCTGGACCGAAACCGCGATTACGGCGACGTGGTTGACCGATAGCAGAGATAGAGTCGGAGAATGGGGCGAATGATTGAGCTGTAGTGAAGAAAGTGTTTTCTTCGGAGTTAGCTCTAGATTGAGCTCGAGTTTTCGGAGGCATAAAAAAATGATATGTCAGTACGACGTTAACGGATTGAGTTTAATTATACTGTTAAGATCATGTACACCGTGTAACCGTGCCAGAGCCACAGGGTGTCTAAGTGCGGAAGACGAGTGGGACAGTAGTGAAGTTATTAACAACACCGCCGTTACGCCGTTAGTCCCCGGAGATCGAGAGTAGAGAAGGGAGGAACTGAGAAGCAGCCAAGTCGGAGCGGCGGTATCGCCGGTGACGAGGAGCGGGCCAAAGAACTTATAAGTCCAAAGGCTGTAGAGAGAGTACTTCAAGGCGTTGAGCCTGAAGACTTAGAGAGGAGCTAAGTTGAGAAGGGAGATCTAAGTTGATCTAAGTTGATAATTAAACTGAGGAACTACAGTAGCGTACAGGCAGTATTTATATCTACGGAACGGCGCAGCGGTGCGGAGCGCCAGACTAACTACTAGGAGCTATACGAGTAGTACCTGCAGGGTAAAGTAAAAGACAATAAGGAGAGACTAGAACGAAAGGGTAAAAGACAATAGTGAGAGACTAGAACGAAAGGGTATGTGTAGCGAGAAAGAACAATAAGAGTCAGACTACAATAAGAGCAGATCTTTGGAATACCGAGCGGCGGAATGGAGGCCCGCGGCATGGACTTGACAGGGGACATGGATGGATGGATATATTGGGGTTGGGTACAAGTTTGGTTTGGGGATGGTCCCGTCGATATATCTGGTTAATCCTCTAGATTGCACTGCAAATAGAATTCCCCGCTTATATGGTTGCCAGTTTTCCTCACTGATGAGCTGCTTCTCGTCCAGGAGTCTCAGTATGTTTGGGCTATTCCCGAACAACATTGTTTGTGGTGCATATTACTGCTTTCAGCACTGGTAACCTTTTTGCTCTTGGTCGAGGCCCAGTCTCATGATCTGTTAGAATATATCTCAGTTGTCTATGAAGCAACTGAGGGACTCGAATCCGCCCTCAGTGTGATATACCTACAACTGTACAGTATAAGGTAATAACGCCGTTTATGTAAATGTCCTGGGTGGTACTACGTACGGAGTACTTCCCTAACATTTTGAATTTTTTAATGGTTTTTTGTGATTCCACGTGACCATCCTTGGCCGAAATCATAGCGTGCTTTAGGCCTTCCAACCGGACATTGTTCTGGTGGAGCTTCCGGGGGTCTGGCGTCGATATCTACAGGAAGGGGAAAGAAATAGGAAAATTATGTAATTCGGCTGACCTCTCCGAACAATTTATCCACTGTTTCTCATTCCACTCCTCATTTACACTGGAATCGTGCCGAGAGCATTGCTCGATGTTACTGTACATAACATACATCGAAGTTACTGGTCAAGATAAGTACTAGAGCCTAGAACACCCAAATGACTCACATCCCAGTGTGACCCACTTCCTCCCACTTCTAGGGGGGCAATAGTAACAAGCGACAATTTAAAAAAAACAGTAACAGAGAGGATATATTTCCGCAGGCCCCACAACACGAACATCATTCACCGGTGCATAGCAAGTGCTAAGACCATGTTGAAGAGACGACCTTCCTACTGACATGACTACAAAAACTATCGAACAGCTCTCGAACTTGTCCTTTTCTCCAAGTGAACTCGACGATGAAATCCTGCAAACTTGAATCCTGATCTTCTTTTGCTCCAAAAGCAAAATTCGTATTCTTGAAAGACTCTTTAACCATTATAGAACAAGCCATATGTGATGAAGCTAGTCGTTCACCACCAGAAGCTGCGACAGTGTTTTGACGGTCAAACCCTACGTTTGATTCCAAGTCATCAACACGTCGCGTTTTGCGTCGACGAGCACTTCGTGACCAGGTGTTTTCCTGAACGGATACGAGGTATCCAAAATTCGGCTCGGGACGAATGCCATTGGTCTCAGCGGGGGCTCCTACACTGAGAGCACTCTGGGATCGAATATGAATATGGGCAACGGAAGACAGTATACTTGAAAGTCTTTCGTATAACGATCCTCTGGAGACAGATACTACAGGCTGTAGTATCGTATTGTGAGCAGGTAGGTATTTCGATATGGTTGGATTCGGATTCTGGATACGGGAGATGGTCTAAGAGGTAAAAGTCAGACTACCCAATGACGGTTTCGTAATCGGAAACAAAGCGCACATCTGGTAATCGTGTATCGGAAAATGACCAGCCCACAGCCCAGCGGCGAGTCTGGCCCTGCACAAACTCCGTAATGATGTAGTTATCGATCTACAAATTATATTATGCCCAAGAATGCAGCTAGAATTCAGAGGCGCACTGAGTGGGATTTCAGTATATCCACCACTTCTGTCACTGATGACAATTTCCCAAGCATTGAAGTATACCATCTACTAAATGGTCAGCATGGACAAGGAAAACAGTTTCACAGAACTCACTTGCATCTTTCCCGAATGTCCAAGCTTTCTATGACCATTTTGCCGACGAATGCGGATTCACCCCCAGAGGTGATCATCTCAATTTCTGCGCCAGTGCAAACGGCGTTCGGTCGATATTGTTTGGCCTCAGCTGATTGAAGGACCTCCTGGAGGCTGCTGTAGAATGGCGGGTTGCACATAGTGAAATCGAATCTTACATTCGAGAAGTTAGATTATAAGCCAAACGATGGAAAGAGCGGAGCGCACCTTCTTTCTTTATCAAGGTGCAAAGGTAGGAGAATCGGCGAAGTTGCATGAGATTGTACGATTTGGATGCGGTCACCAAGTTTGTTGGTTGAAATATTCTGCCTGGCAGTTACGAATGAAGATGGATCGATCTCTGCAGGATTCATGAGAAGGCTAACACGAAGATGAGAATACACTAGCTCAGGCGTACCGGAAACGACAAATTCCCATGATTTCTCCAACGAACATGCCAATAGTGGATAGATAGCTGAAGCGCCTGTACCTCTAAAAAGCCCTTGATTAGATCTGGGCGTTGTGGCGAGCAGTGTGTCTCACATGTCGATGCCCAGAACGCTCGACTGCGTATTAGGTTCGTCCATGTAGCGCGAGGCAAAGGTGATATCTTGGAGCCACAGGATATAGTTGAGTCTGAGACAGATTCAGTCTACTGGCAAGACTGGATACGAAGTCAGAAAAGACCTATTTGGGACCTGTGTTAGCTCTATCTAAGAGCTAAGGAATATTGGGAGAAGAATTCAGGACGCACGGGAGGACAAAGTCTGTCAGGCGGAAGACGTATCTTCAGCTTGAAATCACGGTGAAGCAAGGCTTCAGTTAAGCATCTACAAGTTCTTGAGCCGATTCACATTGCATTGGATATTTAAGCAAAACCCATACCTCTGGGCATCCTGATCTTTGAAATCAATTGTTTTGTGCGGGCTAGAAGCCTTGTCGATGCTGGCCTGAGTCAAAAAGGAGTTGGGAGATGAACAAGAGCAGCTTACTACTTCCTCAAAGGCGGGTACACAGCCGAAAGTTCAGCAAAGTCAATTCCATTGCGATAAATATTTCGTGAATGCATCTAGATGAATTCGTCAAGTAAATATTATGACACGTGACAAGCATTTTGACTCTTGAATCTTGACGAATATGTTCCTTCGTGCTTCGGAACTAAGTACTAGGCAATTACTTATCGTTAGCAACGGCTAGCCAAGCTTGCAACCCAACGGCGACCAACGCCTGGGACTTCCAGCTCTTTCCAAACCATTCAACAGATCACAAAACTACTTGCCTATCGTGATAACCCCGGGCCTAAGAATCACAGCGAAACCTTACGGTATCTACTACGGTATGTCTTTCTCTTCATCTGACCCACTTCTCCGTTAATTCCTTGTCTTGTTACTGCGCGCGTCAGATCACTGATACTAGCTAACCTTGTACCACTCAGCCACCTGTTCGAAGAAGATGCGTAAGTTAGCCACACGGTGACTCATATCCTAATTACACGCCACGTATTCACTGTGGGGATGAGCCGATTTCCTCGAGGCGAAAATGTGGGTTTTATCTCAAGGTTATGTACAAAAATATGGCAGCAGATATTTTGAAGGAATTGAGCTGAGGTTATGGTAAAATTATGAAAAGATAATTTAAAATAAGCACGGCCCCCTGCCAAATTCACGATAGCTTCACAATAATCGCCACACGAAAAGTTTTAAAATTCGTGCCCAGGATTTTTGATGAATTTTGGTAAAAATCCTTGCATTTTCTCTAGATTTTCACCGCGAAGACATTGGCTCATCCCCACAGTGATTTCAGACGCGGAGGTACACTGTCAGGATGATACTTCGTGATACCTTTGAACTTGGAAGATGCTGCTGCGTGTCTCCACATCGTAATCGTATCGTTGGATCTGTAGACTCACCAAATTAAAACCACAAATGCATGCACTGTTGTTCGTTGTATCAAGATCTCATTCAATGCGCGCGCCACAGAATCTGCATAACTTCCTGCATTGGACATCCGCCGAGAAGTATGTAAAGACGATTCGGAGATGTTATTCTTTAGCCCACTCGAAGGCAGTGGTAAACTGACTCAACCTTCACTCACCTTTCAATAATCTAGCTGTAGAGGTCTTGCTAAATCGTGTACCCGGGAACCTATCAAAACATACACCGAGTTCCACGAACAATCGATTCCCACTCTTGGTTCGTTTAAAAGAATCAGCTTATGGAGTTTACCTCACATGTCTTCTTCCTCGTCTGCCCATGAGTAACGCTGATGAAGAACTTTTGAAGAGCCTCGCAAAGCTCCTCGGCATTTATAACTACGAGTCCGACGGATTCGACGAAAATGAGGTACGCAAGCGCCTCACCACTGGGCTACACTGTAACTCGACGGATTTGGATAACTATCTCTTCCACCATCTAAAATGTGAAATCTTCCATCTTCAGTGTACTGAAGAAGGAAAATTCAAAGATAGCCCCTCCGAAATAATTGAGATTGGGATCACGTTCTATCTGATCAAGTGGACGCGAGAACTTATCAAGAGCCCATCCAGTGTTCCAAACAGGCCTCCCAATGATGCATTCCTTATGCATTCATTTTGGCGGCTGCTCTACCGAAAGAAACCACGATATCCAGTGGGGGAATTCAAGAAAGCACCGCCAAATTTTCAAATCTGTATGAAAGCCCTTTCCGAAACGTTACAGAGTCTCCACCGAGAGATATATCCGAACTACAGGTATGACCACAAAAATACCGCGACAAAGCAGAAACGGAGTCGAAGAGCGGAGGGGCATATTTCTTCACCAACCCCTTTACCCATCAGACGGTCAAATTTGAAGTCTAAACCACGTAAGCCCTTTTGTTCAGTCCTGTTTCGGCTTTATCTTCCTGATGTAATGAGCCTCCTTCCAGGTCCCCAAAAACGGCCAAGCCGCGCAGTCAGAGGAGTGTCCTCTTCCCAAGACACAATGATCAACACCATGCAAGCGACCTCATCGAACTATAGGCGGAACAAATGGCCGGTGGTAGACGGGACTCAAAGTGATGTTTCTGCATACCATTCAGCCCCCCAATCTTCTTCCTCGTTCCTGGGTGAATTTTCTCATCCACCGACGCTACCTCCATATTCTAGTCGGTTCCCATTGTATCCCGAGGCCCAATCGGCAATTTCATCAACCTATACCTGGCCTTCCTTCTCCCAGTCCACCATGACATACCCTTCTCTCTGCGCTTCGGGCTCTTCAACAAGTTTCTGGGATCCTTCAATAGGAGACATATATCCTACTGTGCAGTGGCCAAGCGAACCGAATCCGTACTATCCCTACAATGAGCATGGATCAGACATGTATCAATCGCGCTACTCAAAACTGGGCATTCCTTCAAGTTCCTATTCTTCGGGCACGTTATTCGAAGAGGGTTCGTCATCCTCGATAAGTCAAAGGGCTACCGAATTATCGGGACCATCATCCCAAGGTGTTTCCCTATTTCCCTCAAACTCTTCATGGCCTTCGCAAGAATTCCTCTCGGAGTCACAGCCACTCGGGTTGTTTTGCTCGGATTTGTCCGCGGAACCCTCGCAGGCCTATCACGAGCCGAACGAACTTCCTCAAAACTACCCAACACAGATGATTCTGGATGTACCGCATCCGCCATTGCCTCAGGCTACTTCTCAATCCAACCTGCTAAGCCCACTCGCAGAGCTAACTCATCAGGTCCCGATGGGTTCCAACAATGACATCCCAATGCTACCTTCTTTTGAGATGGACTATCCGATTTGCTTTCCAGAAGCTGATTTGAGAATTCTGGACTCCCTTGATTTCTGAAGTTATGAAGTTGAAAGAACAGATGGAATATATACTGTATTATATACCCTGTTGTTGTTGCAATTTCTAATTAATATATAAGTTCAGAGACAGCTGCTACAGAGATACCCTTCATTTTGCAAGAAAACTTGGATAATATGTATGTACAAACTGAAATACCTGACTGCCTTGAATTCTGGAGTTATGAAGTTGAAAGAACAGATGTGGCTACTTGTCAATGTAATAATGTATCACTTTTTATCAATATTTCGGTTCCTACATACATATCATCCAAGTTTTCTTGCAAAATGAAGGGTATCTCCGTAGCAGCTGTCTCCAAACTTAGGAATCACAACAACAACAGGGTATATGTTCAATTCCTTTATCGACTAACCTAACCTAAGGCTAACTGTAAATAAACGAAGAGATGCATATTAGATCTAGACACCAAGTTGACCGACCTGACCATCTAGGCCGCAGGCCAATCGACAAACTTTCCAGAGGGAAGGTATGATACACGACGAGCTCGAGAGGACCAAGGCAGAGGAAACCACGAGACAGAAAGAAGAAAAACGGCTGCAAGCAGCGCGCAGAGCCCCAGCCTCGACTATCGTTCTATCCAATGACCCTGGAGTGACGAGAAAGGGAGAGGGTAGGATAACGATATCAATCTTCGCGTGAATCTGAGAAAGAAAAAATTGAAGAGAAAGCGAAGAGCCAAGGTTTATGAGAGAAAACTGAGCAAAAGAAGAAAAAAGAGTAAGGATATAGGTACGTAATATCAGCAAGCAAGACAAACAACGAGCGAATGACGAGAAGAAAGAAATTGAACGAGAGATATCATTATAATGAGTGGAGTTGTTTTGTTGATTGGTGCTTGCTTGCACGTTGGATGGATCGTTCCACCAGAAAGCAATGTCCAGTCCTCCAGCATATACACCCCACATATTGACTGGTGTACGCTCGCAATTTAATGAAGGTCGTGGTGCTTGTAGGCGTTTCGGCGATGGACTGACGCAGCTCTGTGATTCAGGTCGCGCCTTCCAACACGCGGTTCTCTGCGTTTGCATCGGCGTCCATCCGAGGAAGTCGAAGTCGTAACTGCAGCCGCGGCAGCGACATCCGTGGATGTTGCGACATATGTAGACGAATCGGAGGTAGTAGATAGTGTAGCATCGGAGGTCGAAGTCCACGATTCCATCGACGAGGAAGTCCAAGTGTCGGAAGAGGAAGTCCAAGTGTCGGAAGAGGAGGTCCAGGTATTGGAAGAAGAGGTCCAGGTGTCGGAAGAGGAGGTCCACGAGTCAGTAGCAGATGTGGAGGCGTCAGTGTAAGACGTCAATGAGTCGGTGGCCGTAGTCAAGGCATCAGTGGAAGAAGTCGATGAGTCAGTAGCCGTAGTCGATGAATCAGTCGAAGAAGACGCAGAGTCATCCGAAGCAGAGCTAGGGTTAGCAATGTTCACTGCAACAGCACCGGCTGCAGAAGTGATTGCAGCAGCAGCAGCGGCACTGGTAGAGGCAGAGGTTGTAGCAGCAGCACTGGTGGATGAGGAACTGGTGGATGAGGAAGGCGAAGAGGAGACTGTGCCAGAGTCATCAAAGATATCATTCTGGGCACCTAAATTACAGAAATGAGTTCTGCATAAAGCGTAATTAAAGCGATCGATCTCACCGTTGGAGAAACCACACTTGGCATTGTATCCCGGACTCTTAAACTCTCCTGCCAGATCAAGACCATCAACCTCAATGTTGTTACCGCTAGCTTGATGCCAGAATAACATTTGCTTAGGACCAGTTACGCATGCGCTGGTATCGTCTTCACACCATACAGGGGCTTTGGGAGTTCCAAGAGGCTTAGGGTCACTTCCGGGTGTAACCTGGCATCGGATCCCTTCGAAATACATGTTGGCCTCGCCACATCTGTTGAAAGTTCGGAGATAGTTTCAGTAAAATTGGTTTACACAAACAAGACAGTAGCGGGTCAGTGCGGTACTCACGCGTTGGGAATCTATTCATCACGCCGTTTAACAGTTCGATTAGTCTTTACATCATGACCATGATGTTTATTGTAACGTACCCAACCCCACTAGAGAGCAGTCAGTGAAATGAAGTTGCAACAAACAAACTAGAAGAACCTACAGCGCAGATACATCCACCTTCAGGGCATGCAGGCATGTTGGCAGGAACTTCATACGTGGTCAAACGCTTCCAAGGAGTACTGCCAGTGAAAGAAATCAGTACGAATATATGGAGCATCTTGTAGGATACCCACTTGTAGGTGACAGAGAAGACAACAAGGTTTTCAGGAGTAACATCAGCGACGTCAGACTGTACAAGAGGAGGTAAGCAGGATTTGGAAGAGTTCACTCGATAATCAAACACACGACGTAAGCAATAGCGAGTGCAGTACCCGCAGCCATGGACTGATTCTGAGTGTGCACTAATGTTCAAATTAGAACCCAAAAGCCGTCGATGAAGATCATTTTGACTGACTGTTAGGGGTGGTGATGCAAGTTGGAACGTTCTAAGGGAAAATCGTTGAGAAAAATGGATGATCAAAAAGCAGGAGAATAATAACACACGTAGTCGTCGGCATAGGTATGACCATCAGGCCAGTCACTAACGTATTGTCCGTCGAACGAGAGGGTAGTTACGCCTTGATTTGCGGCGATTTCGACGGTGATTGATTCACCGGCAGGCCTGTAAAAAGTCTTAGAAATGCTGCAGAACAGTAGAGAATTAGGGAAATGTACAAGGTCAGGACATCACCGTCAGCAGGGGGTTGGTTATTGCACTATAGACGACTGAGATAATTGAGCTGAACATGAGTTATATAATACTGACACCGTTGACAGCGTGGACTACGTTGAGAAGGAGAGAAAAAAAAATGAGAAAGAATAATGGGAAATATGGAAAGAGCGTACACCACCACTGCGATTGTGCGAGCTGGTACAAGGGAGTAACAGGATCATCTGAGTTGAGGTTGTTTCCTTCGGCGCCCTGTTTGTTTCGAGTCAGCTATAACACGCAAACGAACGCGACTTAAAGACGCACATTCAAGCACCACATTCCCTTCGTAAAGACGGCCAAATGGGCATTTGTAGTAGAAGCCCATAGACCAACGGCTAACCCTATAACAGTAGATCGCATGGTGGTATCTAGGGGAAGGGTTGACTGGGTAGAAGATATGGGCTAGGGATTTTAAAACGAATGTGTACTGCCTCCGAAAAAGATAAAGGGTTTCGGAAGGCGCGGGGGGAGATGGAGAAAAAGTCTTGACTGGGCGGAACAAGAGAGGGAGGAGAACGGATTCCAACGGGTGTATATAATTTTCAACTTTTGATGGGCGGTGCAATTTATAGCGCTGCACAGATGCATCGTAAGTGATTTTGATGGCATTAGATAATACTCGACTTCTTCTCGTCAAGAAGGCACCAGATTGGCATAGCGACCTTGGAGCAGAATTGGCTCGTCTCTCGTTACTCTTCCTCTCAGACCCATGTAGCTTTTCAACCACACTTTTCAACCACACTTTGTTAGCTTTGTTGGGCGTTCGATATCTTGAACCATCAACGAGAAAATGATGAAACGGTCAGTGAAACCCGACGTCTGCTCACTGTATATAGCCAAGCCCATGATGGTAGAGATAAGATATTTATCAATGTACCTGAAAAAAACCCATTCTGGAAGAAAATCAGCACCCAACAAACCTGCAACAAACCGACCTACTCAGACTCATCTACCGTGTTTAATGCCGGCGTTTCCTGTCTCACTTTGAGCTTCTAAACCTGCGAACGACTACATACACAGGAGCGCTCCCTTTGACGTTTGAATGGTGCGTCTCGACAGAACTCGACAAGCAAATCCGGGGGTCTTCATCATACAATTGAGCCTGGGCCTGAGTGGCGGGAGCTTTCAAATAATAACTCAGTCGCTGCGGTAGCCACCATTACTATGATCCTAAGCCTTAAAGGCGCGCCATAAGCATAAGTCCACCCAGAGTCCACCACAACTCTGTCAAGGGCGTACCTCAAGTGAGATCGTTACGCCAGACATCGCCCGGGTTAGAACTTTAAACCAACTGCTATTGATTCCTTCAAAAATAAATCCTCGTTCTTGTGAGTCGTGTAATTGACACGATTGCAACTATCGACTCTGAGAAAGATTATCAGATGTACATATGTAATGCAGTGCGCATGGAGAGTTCACGAAATGTGAACAGCGAAACGGCCACATTCATTAACTGAAATGTGATGACGAGCTTGAGGTCGTTGTGATAGGTGCTGCTAAGTCGAACGTAGGAAAACTTCTCTGACTCAGGTGTATTGGTGGGAATTGAAGATGATGCCGCGAGGCCTGCACCTTGGTGGTTTTCAAAGCTTGCCAAGGCACTTAATTCAACAACCGTAACAGGTCCTTGAAGGTACAACCTGAGTACAACTATCATAGGAGTTAAAAATATCGTAACCATTGTGCATTGTAGATTGATATCGATCGTACGTAGATGTGCGTGAAAAACCACTATGTGAAGTCGTAAACAGAGAAGTCGTATATTCGTCTAATTCGTCACCATGAATGTTTCATGTTCCGCAGTCTTGAATCACTAGTTTTTTCTGGCCCACCGTCCGAGGACGACGATCATCAGCAACATGTTGTGGGCTTGACGCAAAGCCATTTTGTTCGTTGCCGCCTGAACGCGTTTTTCTTGTAGACAACGTTGATTTGGAACTGCTAGGATTATTTCTGGATTTAATTCTCGAACAGTGGTGGGTTCTATACTCACCTGCTAACAAAAATGTCGTTTTGAGCACCTATTCATGCTGTCAGTATTACATATGCGGCACTTTCTTTGAGTGGCTCACCATCCGCAAACCCACATTTGGCATTGTATGCGGGGCTCTTCGCTTTTCCGGATAGATCCTTCCCTGATACGGCAATGTTATTCCCGCTTGCCTGGTTCCAGTAAAGCATCTGTTTCGGTCCTGAGACACAGGCGGATGAGTTGCCTTCACACCATACAGGGGGTTTAGGCGTCCCTAAGACCTTGTTACCAGGGTTTGTGACCTGGCACCGACTGGGTGAAAAATACATATTCGGCGTGCCGCAACTGAGACAAATAGTCGAAAAGAAGGGGATGAGTAAACCAAGATATATCCTTATGAAACCTCACCCATTTGGAATCTAATAGTGTATTGGAGTGATCAGTACCGCCATAAGCGAAGAAAGCAATGGTGAACGCACCCAACCCCACTGCGAGACGAGCAAACGAGATTTCAACGACGATTGTGCCAACAGGGGAACAGTACTCACACCACAGATGCATCCTCCCGCGGGACAGGCAGGTAGCCCAGCAGGAATGTCGTACGAAGTCAGACGTTTGAACGGAGTGCTGTAATAGGGGGGTTTAGACTACAACGACGGGACTCGGGATAGAGGGTCCGCACTTGTACGCAACGCTAATGACGACGAGGTTTTGAGGTGTGACTTTGGTTATATCAGACTGGAGATGGAAACAATTATTGTCGGTTCCGAGGGACCTAGAGGTGGGGCTTACTTGATACGAGATAGCGAGAGCAGTGCCCGCGGCCATGGATTTATTTTGAGTATGCACTGATTAGTTGTCGTAAGTCTGGATGAAACTGCAGACGACATGGAAGAATGGTACGAACGATTTGGAGCGGTGATGCAGGTTGCGTTATTCTATGACTGATTCAGCGAAGAGGTATTGTGGGATATTACAAGGCGCCACGCACAAGACTGTCTGAATAGTTGTGGCCGTTGGGCCAGTCGCTTGTGAGTTTGCCCCCGTATGATAACGACGAAAACGCCTGATTGCTTGCCAGTTCAAGGACGACGGATGATCCCGCAGGTCTAATATCGTATGGAGTCAGATCGGTTGTCGATATGCGACGCTGACTCTTACAATGTCATAAAATCTCCTGAATTTGGGGGTCGTTTATTGCACTGATTGAAAGTGTTCAATGTAAGATCGTTGATATAATTTTTACCACATACCCCGTTAGAAGCGTGCACTGGAAAATGAAGAAAAATGGTTATGAAAGCTGAAAGTCGATGGTCTGAAAAAATGCTCACTCCACCACTGATCGAATGGCAGTTGGTACATCGGAACAACAGGGTCGTTAGAGTTCTGGTTGTTCCCAGTAGATCCCTAACACCAATCGGGGGACAGATTAGCGAAGATCGCAAAAAAGTTGTAGGACAAAGCTCACGTTGATGCAGTACATTCCCTTGTTATATGCAGCAATGTGGGCGCGTACAGTTACCGACAAAACTGCCGCCACGACGAAGATGGTAGCGCAATGCATTGTAATGAAAAGGAGATGTGAGGTGAACTTTTTATATTCATGGAGGCGGTTTATAAACAGATCTAAGAACATGGTATCGCCGGCCATAATGGATGAGACATGATAATGACAGGGGCAAAGCAGGAAGCAATGATGAGAGAAACACTTCGAGAAACACTTCGATAGTCCGAGACAATTCTGGTTTCATGTATATTTGCGTAACCCAATAGCTTTAGAGGTCAAGCGAGATCCTCAGACCTCTAGGCAATCTATCGAAGGTGCAGAGGGACCAAAAAAGCAGGTTTGCTCATTCGAATTGAATACGTTCAAGCTTGAAAATCAAAACGAACTATCCCTCCAGGAGGCTCCCTGGTGATGACAGTGATTTCACAGAACAGACCCGAATGCTGGCGTCGCGGTGGCGCGTGCTATCCCGGGGCCATTCTGCAGCGAAACTTGAAGCACTCCTACAGACTTCTCCACTTTATGCATGAATTGGGTTGGGGAAGGTTTTGGAGAAGCTTGAATTGAACTTATGACCAGCTTCGAAGCGGCTGCGAGAGTCGCGAGGACACGTTGGGACTATATCTGTATACATACATTTCAGACAGAGTCAAACACTGCTCTACACTGATTCCGGAGGAGGCATATACTTTGAAAGTAAATCACTCACATTGAGAATGTAAATATCCAGCGTGGGGGAGCCTATTAGTTTTATGTGACATATAGGCAGACAATTGAGCTTGGAATTTAGAGCAGCTCTAAAGTCATCCATCGTCGTTCGAGTAAAACAGTGATATCGGTGTTTCGGGCCGGTTTATGTCACCAGCCTTTCTTCTTGAACTCGCTCCAGACTCGCTCTAAGCGTCTGGCCATGGCCGCCACAACAGGCCACAAGGTCAACTTTCTGTACCGCGCTCGTCGGCGAGCGCTGGAAGATATCTGGTCTTAAAAACGACATCGCGGATTAAACCATCAGTTATCCGCTTCTCTTCTCCGCCCCGCCTTAAAGGTATCAGAACCAACTTCGATATCCTTCTGCACAAACTAGAAGGTCAAAGTTTCCGCTCTTCATTCGTTACACAGCGTCATTCAACGCCACGACATTTGTACACGGCACCACCCGGAATATACTTTCACTGAATGAGGCTACTGTTACAATTTGTTTACAAAACGAGAACGAACTCAACCTGGAGGTGATCGATGAACGCCAGAAGCTCTTGTGTGCGAACTTTGAGGAGCCAGTATGTACCCTAATATCTCATCTCATCATGGATTCGTTCTCTGACACTGAAGCTATTAGGTCGATGCTTGTATCCTTCTTTGAATGCCACTTCATCTGGATTACAAGCTCCTCGATCCTTCGGATTTGTATCTCCGAGATATTGGGTAAATGGTAACATTACAATGGTCGAGCGCTGCACTCGTGATCATACAAGCAACCTCAATAAGCAAAGTGTTTAGTCGCTTCCACCCTTGATCGATGCCCATTAAACAAATATTTGGTCCGACCTACTCGTGCTTAACATCCTACACTATTTCGCCCGTAACTGAGTCTTAGGTATAGCTTCTGCAATTGCTCTCCGACTCGTTCTCACTTTCGTCTTTTGCTCAAAAGCATACGCCATCCCGATAAGCGCGTACTCATCGAACGCCGTCCCAATGAAAGTCAAACCGAAAGGCATACCGGGAGCAGGATACGCGATAAGTCCGTCATACGTCACTGGCTCATCTCCAGGGAAGAAGCCCAACGGAACTACATGGAACGATGAAAAAACAGAGCAAAATCGTTCCGAAATTATCACGACGCAAAACAAAATTCCAGTGGTTGAGACATACCTGTAACAGTGGGGTACCCTGCAATCGCAGCGGGAGTGTGTGTGTCTTTGGCTGGCAAGACCAAAGCATCCAGATTGTACTCTTTCAAAACTGCATCAATTCCCCTCGTAACACCCAGTTCCAGATTCTTCGCAAGCGCCTTCCCATAAATCTCATCCCGTCCATTCGTTGCCTGACTCTTGATTAACTCCCCTTGATCAGAATACCCCTCTGGAAGCTCCAACTCGGCATGATCAATATTGAACTGAATCAAGTCCGCGAGCGTACGAACGCCAGTAGGTACCTCCTTCAACGCCGATAAATATTCGTTCAATTCGATTCTGAAATCGACGTAAAGCACGAGATGGTCTAAGCCTTTGATTTCGTCTGCGGAAGGTAAGTTTGCAGGGTCGACAATTGTTGCGCCCAGGGATTCCATGATCCGGAGAGATTCGTCGAATACGGAGCACATGGATTGGGGGAGGGCGTCAGCGGGGTTGGAGGGCATGCTGGAGCGAGGGACACCGATGCGTTTTCCGTGGAGGGCGTTTGCGTCTAGGGCTTTGATGTAATCAGGTACAGGACGAGGCTGGGAGAGCGTACGCCGATCGTTCGGGTCTTCTCCTGCGATAATAGAAAGTACGATAGCGGCGTCTTCTACAGAACGGGTCATTGGGCCCACAGTATCTTGAGCTGCTGTAATGGGAAGAACTACGAAGGCACATACGAATTGGTGAATCCAGAAAACGATACATAATTTAGCAGACATACCTCCTGCTCTAGAAGTAAGCCCAACAGTTGGTTTAATTCCAACGACATTGTTGTTCGAAGAAGGCGAGGCAATACTCCCATCGGTTTCTGTCCCAAGAGTCACAGTAGCGAGACCCACCGACGCAGCTACACCAGAGCCCGATGAAGATCCACTAGGTGAACCTATGGGATGATACGCGCTTTTGCATTGGCCGCCTCGACCTGACCAGCCGCTGGGTATTGAACCACGAAAATAGGCAAGTTCTGATATGTTCACTTTTCCTGAGATAAAAGATAGAGTGTTGTGAGAAAGGTGATGGAGCACAGGCAAAACAAGAACGCACCGAGGATGATGGCCCCAGCTTGTCGAAGACGCTTTACTACACCTGCATCGTCTGAGACTATTGATCCGAGTAAGGCATGAGAGCCAGCGGTAGTGTTAAGACCTAGATGGCTGGATTGGAGATAGGGTTTGGATTAGCTTTGAACGCTTTACCTTCGGATGATAATGTCGCAATGTTATCCTAGAAAGACAGCACGTTAGATCGAACACTTATTTTTATATCAATTCGGCAGGTCTGACTTTTAGAAGTACGGGGATACCATGAAGCATGGTACGTTTCCCGCTACTCCGCCTCTCTTCATCCAACTTCGCCGCCACTTTCAATGCAAACGGGCTAACTTCCATAACAGCTCTCAATTCCCCACCTTGAGCATTGACTTCCTCAATCCGGGCAAGGTAGGCCTGTCATTGGAGGGTCGGATTTGGAATCCAGAAGATCGCCATTATCATACGCACGGTTGCTAAATCAATGCTGGTGAATCGTCCGGCATCGAGACCTGCCTGTAACTCTACGATTCCAGCCTCATAGAGGTCTGGAATATCCTGTTTGGGTAAAAACATCGAGATATATGGTTATCGGAAGAGTAATGGTGGGTAGGCAGTACATGAGAAACGCAGGCTCAAGCCTAAAATTGGATGGGAACATATTGAACCGGTAGGGTTCTTAAGTGCCGATATGCAGGGTGGAACGGGGCGTAAACAGATGGATGAGAAAGTTTTTTTGAGACAACAAAGGTGTGGCTCTGCGAGGTAACCAATCCTTGGAAATCTCTAATAACCTGAACGAACTTGAGATAAGGGTTGAGTGAATTAAGAGAGATCAAAAGCATATACAGTCTTAGTGAAAGCTAGGATCAGCTTCTGAGCTTTTAGCAGAAGCGAAGATGAGTCGGACCGCTAGTGAGAAGTTGAATAGTGTGACACACGCGGGTGTACTGATGGTCACGTGGATGTGACCTTTGTTTCTTTCCTCCCGCACTACATAGCCAGGTGGTGTTGCGTAAGAAATGGTATCGAAAAGAATCATGGCATTCATTCGGACGGTTTTTGACCAAGTGGCGAAATTAGATCGAACAGTATCGAGCACATTCATTGTGCTAGAAGATGGTCTCACTTTCTCCCGTATAAGTATAAGCCAATACCTCGAATCGTCGTCGGTACCGACATCAGTGGCCATTCGCAGCACACGGGCAATGAATTTCATAGCACAGATTCCGATCGTTTGCAGGTGGGGAGAGTCGCATCACCTAGGAACTCTCCATGCTGTATACACTCCCACATTTCATACAAGAGTGAGTTCCATATTCAAGCAATTTGTCTGCACTTCTCAATCCGCATATCTTTCGGAAAACCTATTTCCATTTAACCCGTGACAGCCACCATCTCAACCACATTTCCCCATTACTGAAACTTATAACACCTAAATGAAGGATGAGGAGCCCCGCTACTTGGACAACATGGTACTGAGGTCGTCATCGGAACTCGGGAGTGTCATTGATGGAATGGTCATGAGTCCTCTCCCACGCGTATTGAAAGGCTCGTCGCGCTTGTCCATTAAGTCTTCTCCCAACCCCCAACTTATGTCTTCCATAATTACAATTCCTACTACTGCACGAGCAGCTGTCATTGCTACGATAAAGGAAGATCTGGTTATCAAGGAGGTGAACGTGATACAGCCCTCGGAACTCGCAGCAGGGGAATGTCTCGTCAAGGTAGAATATGCTGGTAAGTTTAATGGATCATCGACGATCTTCACCACTGATAAACTTTCAGGTTGTTGTCATTCGGACGTCCATGTCAAGAACAATGACTGGGGCCGTACACAGACTCCCGTCATTGGTGGACACGAAGGAGTGGGCCATGTTGTCGCCATCGGTGCGAATACAGTCGGAAGTCCTGTCAAGGTTGGGGACAGGGTAGGAATGAAGTGGTTCGCGAACGCATGTCTCAAGTGAGTGCTGGCTGTGATATTGGCGAAACTGACTTTTCTCGAAGATGCGAAATGTGCCGCTTGGGCTTTGAATCTTGTGGGTCAGGCAATGCTTTCATTCCTCTTCGTGATTCTGAACTACAACTTCTCAGGTTGTACACTCGCAAGGCAACAGAGCCATGGAAACACTGTAGATGGGACGTTTGCAGAGTACACAGTATGTCATATCCGTTTACTCATTTTAATAATCGGCTTAACGGAATGAACTGGTGATAGCGCTGCTGGGTCGATTATTTAACACCTATCCCCGACGGTCTTGATAGTGCTGCTGTCACTCCCCTGTTGTGTGCGGTATGACTTGCTTCACTTCAACTCGTTTTATCTTTCCTCACAGTAAGATATTTTGAACATCCAGGGACTTACCATTTACAAAGCCCTCAAACTATCCAATGCAAAACCTGGGCACTGGGTTGCTTTGTCAGGCGCAGGCGGTGGTTTAGGACATTTGGGTGAACGGATTGCGTTTGGATGTTCGCATTCCCTGCTGAATGCCGCGAGACAGGTATACAATTCGCTGTAGCCATGGGCCTGCGTGTTATTGCTATTGGTGAGGACCCTATCTGTGAACGGAAATATAGGCTTGGCTGACTGGTAATGTACCGTTATCGACAGATACTGGAACAGAAAAGAAGGATCTTTGTTTGAAACTAGGTGCAGAAAAGTGGGTTGATTTTGCAGAGTCAAAGGATATAGTCAAGGACGTTCAAGAAGCCGCGGGAGGTCTTGGTCCTCATGCTGCAATTATCGCTGTTGGCAATGTGTGTTGAAATGATAATGTTATGCCATGTAGCACCTCACTCACCACGCCAACCCCATCTTCTATCAGGCATTACCCTTCAATCAAGCAATCATGTACCTTCGCTCTGCTGCGACTTTAGTTGCTATTGGCATGCCGGGGCCTGCCAATGGAATTTTAAATATTCCTATCGCACTCTTAGTCTCAAAGGTTTGTTTTTATATCTACTGCAGAGAGTCATCAGGCGTTGATGAATGTCTCAGTGCCTCAACGTCGTCGGTAGTGCAACAGGGTGAATATATTCACCTCGTTTTCATAAATATTTATCGATGTATCTTTAGAAATCGTCAAGACATGGCCGAAGCTTTAGATTTCATGGCGCGGGGCAAGGTCAACTGTCACCACGAAATTCGAGATTTCAAGGAAGTGAATAAGTGAGTGCTACTTGGACCTCACGTAGCCTCCGTAAGCCTCATCTCGTCTTTGCACTTAGCGCCTTGAAGGATGTCTCGGAGGGGAAAGTTAAAGGAAGAATTGTTTTGAAGATCACATCCTAAATTTAGTCCCGGAGAGGAATACGACGATGAAGTACTGTAAGTTAGTGTATCGTTTTCACACATATTGTAGTGGCGTTTTGCTGCATTGGCATCGCTTTGCTATGTATGCCTAAGGCGCTGCTGCGACTGAATGGACTTCCGCGTAACCGAGTTCAGCAATTCTACAGATTACCACGCCCTATATGGATAAGGGAACTACAACCGCTCATCCGACTGAGGGGCCATTGGAAACGGACCAGCTGTTGAGCATTTGAAAAAACAATGGATCGAATATGCTCTGTATAAAAGACACCCATCCGCATTGTTCTTCACACAATTCGCTCAATACAATGTCCTCTCCGATAAACTACGCTAAACTTTTCGGATTTGAATCCGTTGCCGCGGCTGGTATCTTTGCTGCACTTTATGCGCCCCTCACGGTTTGGTTCTTTCTCCTACTCATTCGACACCGGTCCTACGTCGTGTTCACGTTAGTTATTTTCTGCCAAAGTGCGCTACTTTTCCATCTTTTCATTGAAGACCATGACCTGACGAGTCTGGTCTGTAGTCCGTTTTGTGGCATTTATCATCCGTGCGATTCTGGCAGGATCAAAAACCGCTGCTGAAAATCTCGACCTCTTCATTGCTGGTGAAGTCCTCTTCTCCGTTGGTTTCTTTGGTCTGCTTTATGGTGCCTATGGTCTTGTTATGGACCGGTAAGTCTTCACTGCTCAAGTCATCATTCGACTTGTTAAATCTTTTTATCTTAGCCTTGCGTTTTGCTCTATTGTGCCATTCGACAACATATTGAACAGACTCATGCGTAGTCGCATATTCTTCCATCTTGGCTTATCCACCGGCGTCGCGTTGGGCATCGTAGGAATCGTCGAAACCTCTAACAACACCTCCAGCACTATCGGAAGTGTTTTCCGAAAAGTCAGCGTGATAATATTCGTGGTTCTCACTGTGCTTCAAGCCTACCAGACGGTCAATTTGGTGATAGCAGAACGAAGAGGTGAGCTTGACAGTACCTTATCTCTTTCTCAGATTTCTCATCTACCTGCTATATAGATGATCTAAATGAACGTATTCGATACCTAGGCACTTCTTTTGGAGCACGCCATGGCGCCTTGATCTTCATGCTCATTGCTATCCTGTTACTTTTACGGGAGATATTTATAGTGGCTACTATAGGATCCACAGCCCAACAGAATAATGAGCATCTGTGGTATCCTCTAGTAGCCCTGCCCGAGCTACTTTGTATAATTTTGTATGCAGTACCTGGACTTATTCCTCCAAAACGGAGCGATATTTACAATCTTCCGAAGTAGTAGATATTATCTTGACAGTGGCCACTAAACCTACACCATAGCCTTATAACTACAGTTAAGTATACGTTTACCGAGGCCAAACCCGCTTTTGTTAATGTTGTCCGTATTATATACTGCCTCGATTCTGAATGCAAATAATGACTGATTTTTGAGGTACCTGAAGAGGAGCGAGTTACAATGCATGCAGTTGAGGAAGTGCTTGTGTACTGAGAGCTGAGATACAAAATACGTGTAGATTCAAGTTCTAGGACGTAGCTATTTCACAGTCGGACTCACAGTTGATCACCCACCTTATTACTTTGAATCAAGAGGAAGATTTTACAAGCCCGTGAAAAATGTATGTAACCCCAAATATCAAAATGCGCCATAACGCGTCGATCTGCGTCGAAGTCGGAAGTTCAAATTGTTGCTATGTCGCTCAGCGCTTGTTTTCGGTAGTACGGTTGACCATAACCATATTTAGCAATGGCTCTTCACTTCCTTCCAGCCTTTTGCAATGCAGTGGACCTTCGATTCTTACAACGGCTGATAATATACTCCGTCCTACTTTGCGTGTAGCCGTGTTGAGCTACGAGGAGGTAGATAAAAGGGCGATCTCTTCAACCCCAATGTTCTCCATAACCTCTTCCAGCCTTTCAAGATTCCAGTGCCTCTCAGTGACATGTCCGATTCCGTCAACTACGCCAAACTTTTTGGGTTTAAATCCATTCCGGCTGCGGTCATTTTCGCAATATGCTACATTCCTCTCTGTGTCTGGTTCATTCCCAAAGTTATCATGCGGCGCACATATGTCGTTTTTACTGTGACACTCTTTTGCTTTAGTGAGTACTACTCATGTACAAACAACTCGATATCCTGATGCATATTTTATCCCAGTGCGAGTTTCAGCATTCATTATACGAGTCGTTCTCATCGCGTCCAATACCGCCGGTGAAAATGAAAATGTCTTCATTACTGACGAGGTACTCTTCTCGATCGGCTTTTTTGGTTTACTTTTTGGAGCGTATGGACTTGTTCTTGACCGGTACGTTATCCTCTTCTTTTCAAGTAACATGTTTGACTGATGATATATATGGTAGTCTATCGCTTCTTACAACATCCAAGGCATATGACAACCCACTGAGCTTTCTCATGCAAAATCGCAAACTTTTCCACTTGGCATTAACTGCGGGAATGATAATGGGCATCATCGGAATTACCGATTCAACCAGTAGCACGCCCAGCTCGAGCGGACCTACCTTACGAAAAGCTAGCGTCATTGTATTTGTGATTCTGACCGTCCTTCAAGCATATCAGACATTTGTTCTTGTTATGTCTGAACGTTCAGGTGCAATATTCTCTAACTCTAGCTATTTGCGCATTACTGACTAAGTAACTGCTTCTTCTAGAGGATCCGGAAACTCTCGCTCACGATCTTGGCAGCTCAATCGGGGCGCGACACGGTGCCATGATTTTTGGGGCCATCTCTGTCCTTCTCCTCGTTCGAGAGATCTATATGCTGGCGACTATAGGGTCTAGTACGACCCAGAACAAGGAGTATACTTGGTATCCTTTCGTTGCACTCCCCGAGCTCGTCTGCGTGACGCTGTATGCATTGCCTGGAATCATTCCTCAGCCGGCTCTAGGAATCTATGACCTTCCCAAGTAGATTATATGTGTCTCATTCTATGCCTCAGTAGTCATTCATTACAACGCAATGGACGCTCCAGGACACCTACATCTAGATTTAAGGCCCCACTCTGGTCAAATAATTATATTCAACTTAACAATTTCTGTACGCGTCTTATAATTCCCCATATGTAGCGTAGAGCACCGTATCAGCATCATGGTATCAGAGGAAGAGCATAATATGACTTCGCTGCAGAGAGCCTGAGAACGCGCGCGTGAGATATCAATCACGTTAAAATCACGTTTTGCGCGATCCCAACCGGTTCATTCCAGCTCTTTCCTCCTTACGTTCCTTCAATCATCGTCGACAATGTCAAAAGTCCTAGTTTCTCTTCCAACTACAATAATATTTAAGGGCCTCTGTAGCCTCCTCGGAAAAAGACTCTCGGACAAGCTGCAACATTTGATAATTGATTGACGGACAACATCAGACAACATCCTACAACACCTCAGATAACATCCAGCGTTATCCAGCATTGTTGCACAGCTGTCGAGGATGTATAATGACTATTTATTTACTCAGAGCGCGCGCATCTGCCGTTGTTAGTAGGATTTGAGCAAACACTGGGCGGCCGATCCTACCGCGTCATACGTCTTTTTTCCCCTGTCAGCATGGTGCGCTCGTTGTTTCTTGGCAAATCCTCGTCAGACACTTACCTTTAGGACATAGAAATCCCGGCGCCGTATTCCAGCATGAAATGCAACAATCATTCTATGACATGTCGCTCAAGTCTTGTTGTATCGGTAGTCTCTCCTCCCGACTGGTTTACATTGAAACTTTCGAACCGGTATCAGGACCAAACGAAAGGAATTGGGTCCTCGTAGGGGTTTGAGAAATCTATATAAGCTTAAAAAATCTACAACCAAAAGTATCAATTCGTACTTTGTTCTCTGTTCAACTTTTTGGCCAGGTCGCCCTCCGAGCATCTTTCGTTCTTTCATTTATCTTTCTTTACTGAGTCTTTCACCCTACACATCAATTGGTATGTGCATTCGCAAGACTTTCAGATATTCTTTGACTGATCTTTTTCACTCAATAAAGCAGTTCTCCTCTCCCATCCCAACTTACTTCTACGAGCTTCACTTTGACAGCTATGTTTGCCAAGATCGCCCTTCCCTTGCTTACCCTTTCCGCTTTGTCTGGTAGCACTTTCGCCGCCCCCTTCAATCCGAAAACACAGAGTCTCGGTATGTAAAAACACACTTGTCTTCCACAGTGTTTACACATCTCAGATATATTTAGCACGCCGCTACCCTTCTTTTGACAACTGGGGTGGTCTTTCATCGTTTTCGAACTTTGATAACTTCTACGGCGTTGACAATTTCTCTGGAGTAGTCAGTGATCAGGTTGTCGTAGAACAGCAGGAGGAGGTTGTCTGTCAGGCCGTGAGCATTGAAATTGTTCAGCAGAAGCTCCTTGTATTGCAAGAAATGGCTAAACAGTAAGATTCGTTGCCGCTTTGTACACCGTTCATTATTTTCATAACATGAAATAACAGAATCATCACAGAGCAAGTCTGCGACGTTGAGACCCAGACTGTTGGTGCGTGTACAATTCAAGCCCAAGACATTCCTCAACTAAAACTCTTTCATCCAGTCTTCCAACAATTCCTCTCCAGTAGCAGCCACTTCAGCTCCGACTTGCTCCACACATCAGGCCTCCAGGTTGGATATGATTCTGGTATTGTTAGTCACTACGGGAGCTTCTACAATGCTGACGGAACCCTCTCCACTGTGAGCTTGCCTAACACTTTCCTAACTCTTATTTCAAGTCATCTGATGGTCATTTCTTTTAGTCTGATCTTGGTTTTTCTGGGAGTGATGTTGGCAAAAGCGTGGTGATTCCCAGTGGAAGCAATTGGAATATTGCAACTTCTCCTACCTCGGTTGGTAATGCTTTCAACGCCGCTGTGAGCGCTGCCAATGGCAGCAGTGCCTAAGTATGTTTCTGGCCTCCAACTTTTTTGATCCAGCTTTGAATAATCACTTTAGGTTTCTCCGATAGGTCCACTGAGCAAACTAGTTTTGTCAGAAAGTTCAGTGATAATCCGTAACGATATGCTCAAGGTCTCGCGCATGGTTCCTGGTCTTATTTGTTTCTACTTATTCGACGGTGCAGATATAGCTTAACTGATGTGTAATGGTTTTCTTGGAGTTGCCGTAGTGCAATCACAGCTCTTTGCAATTGTTTCTATGCATAACTACGCATATGACCTCGTCATCACTTGAGTTTACACGTCTCTAGCGCAGCACCTTATCTTTTTGGGCAAAACTATGAGGATATGAAGGAAGTCAACGAATGGTAGATGTATTGAATACGGATAGATTTCTGACTACAGAAAGACCTATAGAATCACTCGCGCACGTTCAGCTCTCGCTACATAAAGCTGAGGGCTTAAGTGTGCTGGCGGCAAAGGGCTATCGTCTAATTGACATCTAGCGGCCGTTTTTCGGAATGGATACAGGAGCGGTGAATTCTCGGAAAATTCTTCCCCGCAAATTACAATTAGCGCGTCAATATATACGCGCACCTCGGCTCCCCCTTTTCTTAAACACCCCCATCTCGTTATGGCTCCTTCAGACTTTGCAAAGGCGGATATCCATAAGATTGTCGAACAACTCACCACAGATGAAGCTATTCTACTCATAGCTGGAGTTGGCTTCTGGCACACTCATGCTATTGAACGACTTGGTATCCCTGCAATAAAGGCGCGTCTTTCAATCCGCTCTTCAGTGCATCTAGTTTTTCTTACAGCGCACAGGTTAGCGATGGTCCGAACGGTATTCGTGGTAACCATTTCTTCATGGGCACGCCAGCCAAATGTCTTCCGGTTCGCGTCTTGACTTAGCTTCATTGAAGTTATTACTTATCTTAATTTGCAATCAGTCGGCTACAGCACTTGGAGCAACTTTCAACCCAGAGCTCATCGAAACCGTTGGTCTCAAGCTATTGGCCGGAGAGGCCAAGCTTCGGGGAGCTGCTGTTGCTCTAGCTCCGACTTGCAACATTCAACGGGTATGTAGTGTTCACCTGATGTCTTCATCATTCAATCTTATGATTTTCGGCTCAAAATCAGAGCCCTCTTGGAGGAAGGGTGAGATAATATAGATTTATACAGCCCGACCCGCAGTTTCTAAGCAATCATTCTTCTAGAGTTTCGAAAGTTTTTCCGAGGATCCTCACCTTTCAGGTATGATAGCAGCTGCCTACGTGAGAGGCGTACAGTCTGGAGGTATAGCAACAACAATCAAACACTTCGTGTGGGAGCTTTTGCAATTTCTTTCCCTATTACCTCCTCAAATTGTAATCTTAGTGGAAATGACAAGGAAAACGACCGTATGGCCTACGATAGTATCATGAGTGACCGCGCACTGCGCGAGATCTACCTGATGCCTTTTATGCTTGCGCAGAAGTACGCTAGGCCTTGGAGCTTCATGACAGCGTAAGAGTTGCGCCTTTCAAATGTGACTTACATTACTGATCCAAGACAGTTATAATCGAGTGAATGGGACGCACGTCTCTGAAAATCCCTTTATCATCCAGAAGATCCTTCGCGACGAATGGAAATTCGACGGAATGGTCAGTCGAGGATTCCACTTGTCCGTAGATTATGCAACTGCTTACCTTGCGCATATCGTGTTAACGGTCCTCAGGTTATGAGCGATTGGTTCGTTGCATTAGGATGGACATAAGAGCCTCTGTACTCATTTTCATTTGCAGGTTTGGAGTTTACAGTATTGATCATAGTATCAACGCTGGCCTTGACCTCGAAATGCCCGGAACGAATAAGTGGAGAACGCTTGACTTGGTTAAACGTTCTATTGGTTCTCGTAAGATCACGCTTCGAACTGTGAAAGCAAGAGCTAGGAAAGTACTCGAGTTCGTTCAGAAGTGTTGCCAAGAATGCCCCGAGGTCAGTTTGTAAGTTTTGATCGTATTACATCGTTGACTCAACATGTACGTGCCAGGTGCTTGATGGAGATGGCCAGGAACGTACTGTAGAGACGGATAAGGACAAAGCACTCATGCGCAAAGTCGCCGCTGAGTCAATTGTTCTTCTCAAGAATGAAGGGAGTCTCCTTCCACTCAAACCTGAGGAACAGGGTTTGAAGAAGATTGCTATTGTTGGTGGAAATGCGAAAGCTCGAGTGCTGTCAGGCGGTGGATCAGCTGCGTTGAAACCGTCATACTTCATCTCACCATACGACGGTATTGTCAACGCACTAAAGAAGTTTGGGGATGATGTGGAGGTCAACTACTGTGAGGGAGCTAGAGGTGAATCCCTCCAGTTTTTCCCTTTCAAAATCCTAAAATCTTTCATATCTCACAGCTTATATGACTATGCCGACCCTTGAGCAAGAGTTAATTACCGAGGACGGTCAGCCTGGATGGATTGGAACGTGGTATTCACATCTTAGTGATACCAGTATGACGCCAGCAGAGAAACCATTAAGCTCGTTTCCTGTAGACGAGACGCGCATATTCATTAGTACCTCTTATCCGGAAGAACTCACAACGAGATGGACGCTGAAGCTTCGCGGTTTCCTCGTACCCAGGAAAGTAGATACACCGTTTGAATTTGGTTTGATGGTTGCAGGCAGGGCAAAGGTTTGTTTTTTGACTGGTGCTACGTTTTGTCACTGATGATCGTATTGTAGTTATTCGTCGACGGACAACTCATCATCGATAATTGGACTCGTCAGCGAAGAGGAGACTCCTTCTTCAATAGTGGGACACAGGAGGAGAGAGGCGTTTTTACCCTCAAGGCTCACACAAAACACGAGGTCCTTGTCGAATTTTGTAACGTTCGTGGACCTGCAGACGGGGACGAAGATGAAGTTGTCATGGACAGGTGAGGCTTCTTGTAGATCATTGTCTAAACCTCGCTTACCGGATGGTTTGCTACAGTAATCCTGCGGTGCAACTGGGTGGAGATACCGTCGAAGATTTCGATAAGCTTATGAATCGAGCTGTCGCTGTAGCGAAGGAAGCAGACGCCGTGATCGCGGTTGTAGGCTTAAATGCAGATTGGGAGACTGAAGGCTATGATCGGACCACTCTCGCACTACCTGGACGTACGGATGAACTCGTATCGAAAATTGCGGCCGTCAACAAGAAAACCGTTGTGGTAACACAGTCGGTATGTGACGGTTTCCATCACTAAATATGTCAACCTTTTGAGCGTAAATTCTGCGGTCAGGGATCTGCGATAACTATGCCATGGACAGATTCGGTGCCGAGTATTCTACACGCATGGTATCTAGGTAATGCAACAGGCGCCGCAATTGCGGATGTTTTGTTCGGAAATCACAATCCCTCTGGAAAACTCAGCATGACATTCCCGAAGTCGCTGGAGGATGTTCCTTCCCATGGCCATTTCCATTCTGAGAACGGAAAGGTATGTCCTTTGTGTGTCTTCTCTATCGTCAATCTGTTCACATCTACCAGGTCCGATATGCAGAAGACCTCTACGTGGTATTTATCTCGAGTTATGTCATTATGTGTGAGAGTCTGATATTTTTGCAATGTCTATAGGGGTACAAACACTATCATCACCGCAAGATTGTACCACAGTTTCCGTTCGGGTATGCACTTCGTTTCGTTATTTAGCTTTACGAGAACTTGATCTTCGATGAAGCCATGGGCTTTCCTATACGACGTTTTCGTTATCCTCGCTGAAACTTTCCGCGCCTTTCGTCGGCGGTACTGAATGTGGTTTCGTTGCAACTGTCACTGTCACCAATACCGGTGCTATCTCTGGCTCAGAGGTCGTACAACTCTACATTACTCTTCCTTCCACGCCAGAATATACCCATCCTGTCTTGCAACTAAGGGCATTCTCGAAGATTCAAGAATTACAACCCGGGAAAGCTATGGAGGTCGACATCCCATTGGACAAGTATGCCGTATCATATTGGAATGACAAGATTCACAGTTGGGTAGTTGAAAAGGGAGTCTATAGTGTCCAGGTGGGCGTAAGTAGTGAGAACATCGCACTCGAAGGTACAGTGGAGTTGAAGGAAGGATTCGAGTGGAATGGTTTGTAGGCGAGTGGATGATTTATAGGATTGAAAGTTCGGTTCTGCAATCGTGCTGCTTCCGCGAGGGTTATCAGACGACTAAATATCAATCATCCTCTATCACGTTTGCTACTTATCAGTTGCCATAAACCACCGCCATTGGTACTGGATTGGTACTTACTTATAAATTTCAAGTTTCTTCCCGCTTAAGAATGATATTTGTGCCGATTATGTACTACCTTGATTGCCTGATCTTCCCGCCCTGTCTCTGGTCCTACTGGCTCCTACTTATATAAACTCTCGCGCATTCTTTCTTCGGACGTCCCATAAATTCCTTGTATCCAGAATTGCATCCAATTAAAGTATAATACTAATGTCGTTCCCGCTGTTCGTACCTCGGAGCCAGAACAGGCCAGGTCGTTAACTGTGCGGCGCTATCAAATACTCCATAGCCTCGATGCTTTCCGGTGTTTCCAACTATCGCTCCACTGGGAAGTAACGTATTGAGTAAGGATGTACGGCCAAGGGTTTAAAGAGCGAAGCATCTCTCGTTTACGACACGTTTGGTTGGACCGTCACCCGCCAATAGTTCGTTGATTTTCTCTGCCCGTTCTGCTTTCCGCAAACCTGATTTTGTCTTCTCAGAACCCAAAGTTGACGAGCTCAACTCCACAACGCTCACGAATCCGGAAACTGCTACGCTAATAATGGTGAGGCCATAGTCTACCCCTTGGTGTTAAGCCTAAGGGTCCAAATACATGATATAGCAACGGCCTGACACGCATAAAACATGCCCTGCTGCACTCCTCAATGAGGACACCCTTAGGGATATTTTCGAGGCCTGTGTTGTGCTAGATTCACCGAGAGGTTGGGATTCGACTTCCACGCAGACTTCTGCTACTCTAGACACCCGTCGAACTCCGTGGGTCTTGGGACAAGTTTGCCGGAATTGGAGACGTATTGTTCTATCTTCCCCGCTTCTCTGGACATCTATCGATATCCAATTCGACCATCATGATAATAACGCCGCTCGTCGTGTTTCATTCCTTTTGGATTTATATCTCTCGCGCTCGGCATCGTGTTTACTCTCAGTCAATATTCAGAGTTCTATATGCTTTCAGAAAAATACCCCCCTTTTCCGCTCTCTTCTATCAACATCCTCCCGTTGGTATACACTCCTAATCGACATACCCATTTCCGCATATGAGATCCTCTCACCACTCACTGGGTTTCTTGATTCTCTCGCTGTACTTCACATCCGTCTTCCTCATCGAAACAAATCTCAAGCAGTCAAGGACTTCGCCAATCTAAAAGATGGAATTCGACTGTTTAGATTTTGCAACAACCTAGAACGTCTTTCACTACAAAACATTCCATTTCCCCGGGATATATTCCATCTACCGTGGGCCAAAATCCAAGACTTGGTGGTGAATACATCATCGAGCTTAGTCTCAAATTCAACAACCCTCAGAGCGTTGCATGGACTTCGAAATCTCACTTCTTGCTCTCTTGAGTGTAGATTCGTTACTAACCATCGTAATCTCCAACACCTTACTTTACCATTCCTACAGTCGATGACACTCCTCTCAGCAGAACACCAATACGACGCAGAGGCGGTAGATGATAGCGGAATGGAAGTTGCTCAGATGCTCTCGTGGTTGACCTTACCCGCATTGAAGCACCTCCGGCTACGGCAAAAGTTCAAAGCAGAGTTGGAGGATAGCCTTGTTGTTGAAGTGATTCAGCTGATTCGCCGGTCTCGCTGTGAGATCAAAGCATTGCAGCTGCACTTGTACCCCTCCATCAGCGAAGAAGGCATCATCTCAATTCTGAAAGAGGTCGCTGCGTCACTTGAAGGATTGTGCCTTCATCCGGGCCATCGTAATTCCAGGGTCATGTCAGAGCTTCTGTGGAGAGTACGGCAGTCAGAGATATTAGTGTAGGATAGGTTAGTGATGTTGTCATTTTACACTGTGGAAAGATGAACAATTATTGCAGAATCTGCGTAGTCACGACGATTAGTCCATATCGATTTGAACTTATCTCAGAAACCTAAAGTCTAAATTAAAAGAGACCTCATGCACTAATTTGAGCACATTGACGCATAGACCATTCAAAAAGAACAATGACAACTTGTCCAGCGGCCAATTGCCATATATGGGCCCCAAAACCACCACAGTTTGAAGTGACCAACAGGCGCTTGGAGGGTATAAAATCCAAATCTTGCTTGGCCTGAATCCCCTCGATTGTCTGCGCATCTACTTATCTAACTACTCACGATGACATCGCAGACTTTCTCCTTTGCTGGATTCCAAGACTTCTTCCCAAACTACCCTCATATATACAACACTGCGAACATCACGGGGATACGTTGGCCACCATTAGTGGTATCCCACCGGATACACGTTCCAGGCGAATTTCATTATACAGGACACTTTGCACCGTTTGATTCCGAACATAATGCAGCTCAAATTTTGGAAAATGAGCGTAACCGGCCATTCAAAGTGGAGAAATCAATGGTGAGTCCCGTAAACACTTGTTGAAACTTGTTAATGAATTTCATTGCGGTTTGATTGCAGCTTGGCCACTCTCTCATAGAAAAACATGACTTTGAAAATCCCCGACCTGCCCCGCATGCGATAACCATACCTCTGCGTGATGTAGAGGAACCCATAGGCAAAGATACCTCTGGCTCCATGACCAGCATAGTCAGATCTACCAATGACGCAGTCCAGGCATACCCAATTTCTTCATCGTGTGGGGCGTTTTCTCCAGAGCTAGACGCGAAAAGGGAGCGGCAGGGCTCAGATTTTGGTGAAACACTAAATATTCACGAAGAATATACCTTCCCGCTACCTGCCCAGTCTCGGGATGATTTCCCTCCCCGGATCGTTCAATCATCAGCACTCAAAACCATGCCCCCTACTTTTACAAACCCATTCGATGGTAACAAAAAGATCGAATTTCGCGAAACGTGTCCCGGGGAAGTGATCTATTCCACCGAGCGTGCTTGGACTCAGAGGAACTATTTTGGTTCAGATGATGACGAGGTATACATACCGCTTGAGAGAGGAATGAGGTCGAAGTTTTCCACTTAGATTCGGGGCTTATTCGATGTGAAGTACTCGATGATTATAATTCCATGTCTTCTCCAGATGTATATACAGCCCTCGTCGAGAAACCAAATCAGCTAGAATATAGAGTAAGCGAAATGATCACCTTCACCTTGCCGTCAAATCCTTTGGTGAATCTGAGTAGTATAGCATTCCGAAACAAGCTATACGGAGCTATACGGATACTGGTGAACTCCATTTATTGTCAATCGCGGGGTGGTCGTCTTCGGTCAACAGTGTAACACTGCACGGCCCGTCACCGGGCAGCCAAGAACAGGAATCAGGATCTTTCGGAAATCGCGGCTCATCATGTGACCACGATCTTACTTTCCGAATCGAGACACACTTCCTCCTCGTTACTTTTCCCTGAGTTTCCTTGTATGTGCTCAAGACCCTGCTATTGGCCAGGTGCAAATCAGTATGCTCTCGCCCAGAGTAAAGTATCCGCTCCTGACTTTCTTACTCTTCAAGTATCGAATTAATTCCGATTCTATTAAGCGCGACTGGCCCTTGCGAAATACCATAATTGCCTTATGCGAAGCAAAATGAGAGGGACCCAAGCTCTGAGGCACCATTGTTAAACATTCAGCTGCTTCCAATTCTTGATATTCTCCTTTCCAGTCTAATTATCTCGATACTGAAACACGTACGTCTAATCTTCTCAATATCCTGAATTCATGAACTAAATAAACAAGCAAGTAGTGACCAGTGCCGAAGCCACTGCCTCAAGAGCTCAAGCAATAGCTACGATATATAGTGCGGCTGTGACCGAGCGGTCCAGCAGCACCAATCAACTCAAATGTGAATATTCGTGTCTCATTTCTTAACCCTCCACTCCAGTACCAGTTAACAACTTGGACCCTCGATCATGTTCATCTTTCTGTATCTCTGCAACATGATATAACAAATCCCTAAGGCTACACAGGAATATCTTTCGAAAGGCACGAAATCCAAAAAACACTAACTCTATGAGAAAGCAGGTAAGAATAGGTAATAATATATTTCAATCATTGGTAGGCTGATCTGTTGGCAGTGCTCCTCAACCTGGGAACCCCATTCGCCACTGAGAATCATGTTAGTGTTCTTTTTTCCTCCTCTTGCTCATGCCTTGCACTGTAACCGATTCTCTTCGGACAAACTTTGTGACTCGGAGGCTCCGCCTAATCACGAACATATGTTGAGCTCAAGGCGTGTTTTGTTACTTCTTCCGTGGCTTCTCAACATCAACATTCTGTGATCTTTCTCTTCCCAGAGCGCTTTCTGGACCCACAATATCTCGTGGTGACGATCATGCATTATCTCCCACTCAACTTACTCAATTCAAGACCAATGTGTCACGTATCCTCCACCGCAAAAGTTCCGTCAGCAGAGGGGTGCATGTAGGCGTAGATTCACTGACTCAGACTACCCAAATAACTTGAGACTCGGCGCGCGTATGTGCTGTCTATATAAAATAGGTTCCAGCTGGGTTCCATTCCAGAAATTGCCCCAAATCCTCGACATCATCTTATACAATATGGTCAACCCATATGCTGTATGGAACACTGCACGGGACAACACAACTGGCCCTGAAGGATCCTCCGATCCCCTCCCTTCTATTTATGGCGCTCTCCCTTTCTCATCTCCATCAGACACGTCCTCGTTCATGACTTTCACATTCATCGGTTTCAATCCGTCCATTGCCAACTGTACTATCCTAGGCCCAAACAACTCCCCGCAATTCCGCGTGGTCACGGATTCTGCAATGCCGGGTTACACCATCCTAAAAACAATGGATGGAAAGAACTCTGCACTGATTGAGTGGCGTGAGCCAGTCAAAGTCGAAGTACGCGGCATGGTCTTCAAACAGCGTGCTTCGGAGTTCTTGAGAATTTCTCCTAATCAGCGGTCAGATAACTCACTTCCGTTTCTTTCCATGCGTATTGACTACACTTCTCTCAGGTACCGAATTATGATTATCCGTTCCCAAGAATTCATGTGGATTCCCAACGGCGGTGCTGTTTCGGTGCGGAAATTTTCTGAAGTGCCTACACACCGGCGAGCATTGAATGTGGTCTTTTCGCAGCTTTACACCACCGGCTCGAGCGACTCTGAATTTTTAGGCAGAATTTCTCGAAGTGTAGGGGCCATCACTCTTGAAATGACGCAGAATGCTGTCAGATTAGGCCTTCTGCAGGCATGCATCATTACTACTGTTCTTCTTCAGAGTGGCGAGAATATCGACTGATGGACAGTTATTTACTTACGACGTCTCTACTCAGACTATAGATCCATTACCACTCCTACCCTATATACACTATTATCACAGTACCTGTTCAATACCTGTTATTATTTATGGTCTCGATGCTCTAATATCACCGTATACTCTGAAGCTCAGCAGCTTCTTTCTACTATCCCTTCCCCTCTCAAAGCTATTCATTGGAGACAAAGGGTCAGCCTATGCTTACTTGTAAGAAAAATTTACATAACCTACGGCTGGCTCACAATGAATTGTCAATCATCTCCAGCGCAGATCATTTCATAGCTTTTCCCGAGTTCACCCATCCATCGAATAGTTAGGACATCTGGACTGTTTATTCTGATCTGATCTGCTATCATGATGTAGAGTGAATTTCGTCCATGATCTTCATGATATTCATGTGCGAGGTATCATTTCGGTATACCGAATCAGCAAGTAGCTGAGTTGATTGGAACAGACCTCATGTATCATGGATAGTCATTGTATGAATTCTTAGTGCAGTTGGGATTTGACTGTCCCAGCATAAAAGCTAAGAGTAGCAAGATCTAGAATGCTCAATTTCGTACATTCCATACATTTGTACCTTCATGAAGACTAAGATATGTTTAATACCAAACACGCCGGTGAATGTTATATATGCCAGCTGAAGCGACGAGCCTTGAACTCAAGAAGTTCGAGTATTTGATGAGAACCATTCTTCAGCAATCTTGAGGCGGTGATACTAGTGAAAATTCAATGACTGTATAGATACAATTCATACATACGATTCATATCTAATATAGTACATGGAACACCCGCCGAATAATGTTGACAGATAGTTGAACATAGTTGAACATCTACGACGGTTTCTGCGGTATGCTGTAGAAGAGGAGGGTTCAGGGAAAGGACAAAGATCTGATAGCTTAGTGATCTGAAAAAGCGGTGGGCCCATCTCAAAATTTTGAAGAATCATACTGCACTAAGCCTATACTAAGCACATAATGATAGAACGCCGCTGAAATTCAAAAACCAAGTTTTCCATCTGGCGCCTAATGAATCACTCTGCGGCATTGTGACCAAACCAGCGCTAATCGTTCCCACGAATCTCTCTTGTAATCAGCTTACTCCTAAAGCAACAGGCTCCTCATCCAGCTTCATTTGCTTGCCAATTCATCTTGACGTTCAACATAAATGGCTTAGACATACAAGGAGTAGAGGAAGAAGTAAATCATGTGCAGATAGCAAAAATTGCGGAGCGAGACAAAGGAGGAGCAGCAGAGAGCAGCAGCTTCAAGTTCAGAAAAGAATTTCGGAAAAGCAATAGATAGTCTTGCAATGCATTGTGAATTTGTGACTGGCCCGAGATTGGACCTCTACTATCATGAACTCAATTCTCCAGAACCATTTGGAAAAGTAGATCTTCGCCATCAGGAAACAGTAACTTGTCTACAAGTCCTCACGCTTGGGGTACAGACATTCTGATAGCCGATATAGCTGCTGCACCGAGCATAGTAGTGTTCAGTAGTTATGGTAGCGCTTGTGCATCATGTACGTAGTCATTGTAGTGCTAGCGCAACGTATACATAGTCCCCAGTAATCTTCGTAACTGCTGCTTAGTTTCTATATAGTTTACAAACTTTCCTTTAGACTACAAGTACTTTGATAGATTTTTGAAACTGATAGTTGAGCAATAGATGTATATTTTGAAACAAATTGAAGACGAAAGTATCTATTCAGTATTATACAAAAGCATCATTGTGTCTCCCAATACTCGCTAATAAGATGTCGATTAAGACTATCAAGAACCTTGTCCGCCTTGAAGCTTCCATCAGCAACACTCGTAGAAATGACTCCCATGCGGTCGAAGATCTCTTTCCACAAATGAAGCTTGTTCTCCAACTCGTCAACATGAGCCTTGACACTTGCCAACTCATCCTTGGAGTCCTTTACTCGATGTTCGAGTTCTACATTTATAGCTAGTAGAGCAGTGGCGTTGTATGTGTTACGATCACTTCTTTTTCATCTTATCTTTCTCCTTATCCCTTGTCTTATCTTTTATCTTTTGTCTTATCTTCTATCTCCCTTATCCTATATCTTGTCTTATCTTGTCACCTGATCTATTATTTATGCTTACTGATACAACATGCGCTTTTCATTTACTTATATTAAACACAGCAGTCTCACAACACGTATACAGCATGGCGATTGAGCTTTCATTACTTACACATTGCTTTACTTATGTTCTACTCATGTTTACCACTAACCCAGGGCGTTGGGCATTACTAGGGCAGAGGGTTGTTCACTAGTATATAGGCTGTAGTTACTTGCTGTATTTCCTTAGCTTTGATCTCGTCTATTCTACCTGGTTTAGCCCAGAACTTTGCTTACTTCCTTTATCGCCTTACTGTTTGAGGTTTTCTTGAGTGTGACACCTGGTGACACCCGTTACTAGAACCAGTCGCTGACAGAAGATCAAAGCTATTCTTACCACCTGTCACATGCTACGCAATCATATCCCTATCACAATTATCCCCGCTCACATTTTTACCAACCCTTCACAGACTTCTACTCTCTATTCGAGCAGTGTCGCCTATAGTACAAAGGTGTAACGTTGAGTCCGACACCGTACTGGCAGACGAAAGCGTCGACTGATCACTAATCTTCGGAGAGGGGTCTTCGCGTGCACAACGAGCTCCATTCCTAGACAGGGAGGGTGCATCTGTTCATCAAGCGAGAGTGGAAGGCTGCTTCCCACATCATCGTACTCTATTTTCGAAATCTCTCCCACACTACTCTCGACTTCTACAAATCCAATCATACATTTTCCCATCATCACCACCGGGTTGCATTAGTAACTCGTCTTCCTTACAACGGATTTTACTTCAAGACTAGGACGACCTAGACTTTCGGTACAAACCGATCGTTACCATACCCCCGATTCATCTGCTCCATCCACTTCATCTTCTATCAAACGAAATATCACCTCATTCATACCTGCCTACATACCACCCAACTACAGCATGTCTAACCCTACTCCCGCTCCCACCACCACTACCTCCAACATTCATGGCAAGTCGTTGCTCAGAGAACCTAGCATCTTTGATGGCGACAAAGCGCAGTTCAAAGAGTGGCGTCGTACCCTCTTTGCCTACATTCGTGATCCAAGGAATAGGATCATTACAGACAGTGAAAGAATTGACATTGCGGTTTCGTATATGCGAGGTCCCAAAGTCAGTAGCTGGGTCCAGAATTATACGGACGATAATTTCAATGACGACAAGGAGGAATGGAAAGTCACCTGGAAAGGATTCAAGGACGCATTGAATGCCTCCTTCCTAGACAAAGGACTTACAGAGAACGCACAGGAGAAGCTAGAACATCTCCGTCAGGGCCCCAATGAGAGGGCAGAGGATTTCTTCAAGGAATTTGAAGTCATCATGAGAGACGCTGGATATGCTAAGGACGCCCCCTACGTTATCAGACTGATTGAAATGAACGTAAAGCCGAAACTGATTGACCAAGTGTATGGCACCAGCAATGAGCAAATCGAAAAATTCGATGAACTCAAACAGAAGATTATCAGCATCGACGACATGTGGTGGCGTCGTGAGGAAATGCGACGAAATTGGTCAAGCAGATACCAGCGGAATGCTGGGCAAGGACCTAGTAGCCAGAGATGGCAACCACAAATGACACAGGCTCCCGCAACTAAGGCTCCGACCCCTGCGGTACCCACCCAGGATAGGAAAGACGGCACTGGAACGACTTTCAAAGGTGCAGGCAGACCAATGGATATTGATGCTGCGCGTCGCAACAGGGAATGTTTCCATTGTGGCAAGCAAGGCCACATTGCAAAGTTCTGTCCAGAAAAAGCACCAAAGCCACAGTTTGTCAGAGGCATGTGGAGCCGGATGACACAGGAGGATCAGGAGGCTATGGCCAAGGAATTGGGTTTTGTCCTGCCCCAGCAGTAGACGCAGGTCTGCCGGGGCCAATCTCAGAATCAGTATCAGACTTTTCGTCATCGTCATATGTAGACAGTCAATTTAGTTTTGAATTTGGTAGTACTGGAACACCCAATAAAAATAACCTATCTACAATGACGACCCGAGCTGAGAAAAAACCTGTGAGATATGAACCAAACACACCTGAATGGGTGGCGCAGCGGTTACAAATGGACAAACTCCCTATGGCTATAGGAATTCTTAGAGCCTGGATGCCTGAAAGTCATGTCAGAGAAGCATCGGAAGAAACGGTATTGGCTATACGAAATCTGAGTCATGCAACCGCAACTGAAGCAGTTACCAATCTCAAAAGTCATAAGAGATTTGTCCAAGGTACCCGAGGACATGAGCTAAAGTTGCGAACCACTATTGAGAATATCAACAATGGTGTACAGATTGAAACAGAAGCTCTCCTAGACAGCGGAGCCACAGGGTCCTGTATCAATAAGGATTTTGTAGAACAGCACCAGCTCACTGTTAAGGAGTTACCAGTCAAAATGCCGGTCTATAACGCCGATGGCACTCTGAACAAAAATGGTTCCATAGAAGGCTATGTACAAGTCCGAATGGTGATAGGAGATCATGCCGAACGGATAGATATGGCAGTTACCAATCTAGGCAAGACAGATATCTTTCTAGGCATAGACTGGCTACGTTACCATAATCCTAGCATTGATTGGAAGGAATCTACGTTAACGTTCGAACGTTGTCCTGACAAATGCGGGTATTTGCCACACTATGAATCACCTGAGGATGATGGTACAGAGGAAAAACTTGTCGATGGTGAAAGGATCTTCTGGTTCGATTGGGATGGGTATCTTTCTGACCAAGGCCATATCAAAGTACAAACTGCCACTACAGATGCCGCTACTCCGTACCTTGCCGAGTATGCTGATGTATTTAGTAAAAAGGACTTTGACCAAATGCCAGAAAGACGTCCATGGGATCATGCCATAGAGTTAACGCCAGGCTCCAAACCAGTTGACTGTAAAGTCTATCCCCTCA